TTAATTGTTTTTGTTTTTTTGGTACCAGGATTGGAACTCACGACCTTGTGCTTTGTCATACAGGTGCTGTCTGCTGAGCTAGATTCCCAGCCTCCCCTTGCCTTATTTAATACATCACATATAACTAGCAGAGACATGTTCCAGGTTTGGCCTCTTTAAGCAAGGGTTCCAAACAAAAAGACTCACTGGTTACACTTGAGCACTTTCTTCACTTGTATCTCTACTGGAAACAATTAAAAAAAAAAAAAAAAAAACTCCACATGAAGAACAAGGCCAAGCCACCTACTAATTGTTAACGTAAGCACAGATGGCAGAGTGCAGCTGTAGTCACATCATGGTTAGTTAATTATCCTGTGTATTAGATCTACAGAGGCTCACACTCATCCATAAAGTATGTGTATACAAGAACTTCAGAAAAAAGCTTATAGTCTAGGGAAATAATGTATATTTCAATAAAAATTATTTTAGAGTGGGGTGGTTTTAATTATCTATTATTATAGGCTATAGGCAAGAGTTTGAAGTTATATGGCTGTTTGGGTCTCAATCTAGAAAGATCACTTTTCTGTTTGCTTGTGCTTTCTGATGTACTCTGTGTACCATAAAACAATTCAATAAAACTTGCAATAGTTGCTAATGAGGCTGATTTAACAGACTGGCACTGGAAGAACAGGTCTTGATAGCAAAACTGAAAAATGTATCAAAGTGCTAAAACTGTCACTTTGATACACATGAGGTTATATGAAATATTCTAAAGAAAGGATGTTAAAGATGGCTGATTACCAGACCATGAGTGGCAAAGAAAGAAAATAACTTCAAAGTAGCAACTGAAATTCAACATGTATTCTCAAACTGATAATCCTGGTGTCAGACATGCTACCAAATCTAATGTCTGTGCAGAGGGAGAGGGTATAAGGGGGAAGGTGAGCAGTAAGAATAAAATCTGACGGTTTAGTGTTATCCGAATAATTAAATGCACAAGCATTAGGTTTTCCTCTTTGTAGAGGTGAGAAATAGTCTTAGCTGAGATCTAGACTATTATAGCAGTTTCTCCTAGCTACTGAGAAACAGATTAAGCCCTATGAGGGCATCTTCAGTAACATGACTTTGAAAACTACACTCCACCTGGCATAACAGACTAGCCTATCAATACTATTTACCAATGGTTCAACAAATGCCTCTGCCAAGGCTTTTCTGCCTTTCCTTAATGCATCCCTCTAAATAAGATTCAAGAATATGCCTCACAGAATTGAGACAACTTATGTACATGTACCGAAGTCCCACAATGAATGTAATTACAGTATTGCAAACATGGCACTAATAAAAAATAAAAATTTTTAAAAATGAGTATATCTCATAGACAACTTCACACTTGGTGAAAAGCCTGAAAAGTCCTATGGGACCACAAAAACAGGGGCAAGTCATGGGTAGGCAATAACCCATGCTAGGTCTAAGCAAGATTTAATTATTCTATGATATAGGATTTTCCACTTAGAAATCTCCTTGGTATTTTGATCATGGTAACCAAATAAAAATTAAAAACAAAATATATGTACTCCAAAGAGAATTATCAGGTCAAAATGAATTCCCTATTGCCAGGCCTGTGTCTCCCGAGTAAGCTGCTGTGATATCACTGAAATTTTGACCACAAAGACAGGTTCACAATGATGTTCTCTGAGTATTATTAAGCAGGTGTACAAAAAGCAGTAATACCATCAATGTGAGCTATGTTGTTACTGTCATTTCATCCTGGGTAAATCTCATTATAACCCCACCCACTTACCCACTCCTGCATGTGCGTGCACACATGCATGCCTACATACACACACACAATAAAAAAGAGAGATGGCAAGAGAAAAGAGGAAGGAGGAAGGAGGAGAATTAATGGCATGGTGCCTGTTTTACTAAGTCCAAATACTAAGGTTCCTGTATTGCCCCAGCATTTTTCCAGCAATGGTGTTGGCTTATACCAGTGGCAGTGAACCTGTGGCATGTATGCCACAGCAGGCTGTTTGTATCACTGAAAACTCTAAAAGGTTCAGCATTATACGTTGGACCTGAATGTCCTCTGAAGTCTGTATCCGCAAAACAATGTTCATAAAAAACTGTATTTATCAGCTGAAATTTTACATACAATGCTGGCTGCAATGTACTTCAGTAATCCCCTACCACCACCACCTGCCTCCCAGGGTCTTAGCCACCATGGCACCAGGCACATGTTAAACATCACAGAAACTAGAGGTGAATAGAGATGAAGAGGGTGAGATGTGCACCAGGCAGGGAAAGTAAACTTCATCCAACCTGGCTGAGCTCCTTCAACAAGAGGACTTGCTTTATGGTTCCGGCAAGGGAAAATAAGTTAGGGTACTAATTTTAATGAGTCAAAACAAAAGTTACAACAGAATTATTTAAATATTTGTATATTACCATAAGAATACAGTTAAGTTTTAAAATATATAATTATATTTAAGGGGCTGGATTTCTGCCTCATATAATGCTGCTCAGAGTTCTTACCATACCATGAAGAATGACAGGCCTAACTGGGAAGTTCTACACTGTGCAGCCTGAGCAGGGTCTTTACAGCAGTCACTCTCTGTGACTTCCTTTCCTTGGGCCAGTTTCCTGGATTATCACTGCTGGCCACTCCTTTGACATCATGCTGATGAGAGGTCAAATGGCACCAGCAAGCCAGCAGACCATTCCTGTGCCATATGTACTCTGTGCTCCAACCAGCTGGACTGCACACTGAGAGTCGGCTCATCTTCCTACACTTGCTGATGCCAACTAACTTGTTATATTAATTATGAAACTTAACTACTATATACTCTGACAAAATATGAGTACAAAAGATGTTGCTTCTATAAACCTAAATTGAAGATTTTGGAAAGAATATAAGCAAGCCATTAAAAGTTGTTTAATTAGAAGTACACAAAACGGCTATGGAACATGAGTAAAAAAAATTGTGAAACAGATTCTGTGCTCAGATTGCTAATGTCTACACTGATATTTTTTTTTCTTGTGCTTTACATGATTAATATAATGTAGATCTTAAAAGAGTAGGGTCGTTTTGTCACAGAAAAACCGTTGGATTCACAAGAGTTAGACGAATATATTTTTATCTTAAGGGAAAGACACTATTATGACATGCATTTTAAAAATAATTCCACTAAGCAACTCCACTTATGTTAGGTAAAAGTACTTTCTAACTTCCAAATTAGTAAATGTTGAATTAGTTGCTAATTCAACTAATTTCTATCCTCCAAATTAGTAACTGCTGAATTAGTTGCTAATTAGTTGCTGAATTAGGCCTTTAAATTTATGAGTTATTATGAATAAGCAGGACTGCTCTGGATATTAAATCTTCAAAGTTTTATTCCATGGTTTTGAAAGATGAAATATTTTAAATAAGTTTCCTATCCCTTAGTGTAATATAAGTACAGGTCACAGAACAGTAATGGAGAACATGACTATGTTTAGAAATTACAAAGGAGGAGTCCAGGCAGTGGACTTACTAGCTTCAGGGCAGTGTTGCACCTGAACCCCAGTTTGCTCATCTGGAAAATGGAATTAACAATAGTACTGAACTCATGGACACCAAGAAGATGAAATGAAAAAATATGTGTCAAAGCAATGCTCAGCTCAATGCCTACCTGGTATGTAAATGCAACAAAATGTCCATTATTAGAATGTCTAGTAGGACAAGGTATCCACTATCATATAAAGAAGTCATTGGCCCTAAATACTAAGTTTGTGAAACTAACAAATCCTTTACATTAAAGGTCAGTGTAACAAAGACATAATTCTAACATCTGAATTTCAGAAAATTATTCTGAGAAAATGCAGTTTAAAAATGACACTGGGTATGATGGCATATGCCCATAAACCTAGCACTCTTGGAGGCTAAGGCAGGAGTTTATCAAAGCATAAGTCTGACCTGAAAAACTTAATGACTTAGGAAGGCCCTATTTTAAAATTCAAAACTTTTAAAAAGGCCGTGGAGTTAGTGTAAAGTTCCTAGATTCAAGCTCCAGTACTGGGAGTAGAAGAAAAGGAAAGACAGGTGTTCATTTGCATTGATTCCAGGACTCATGCCACATACACTTAGGAATGAATAAAGACACAGATATTTAATAATGAGACGAGGCTCTTTCTATCAATAAATCTTGAGTCCATCACGTAAAATCTTAAGATAAATTTATCCTAAAGGGAACAATGTCATACGGCTATAGTGAGCACCAGATCTGAAATTAAACTTCATTCACAAAACTAAATCTAAATAGTACAAGAAACTCTATTAGAAAGCTCTAAAGAGTTCATTTACATTACTTCTCAGTAAATCACAGTGCCTTTCTTAGCAGGAGGGCAGACTGGATAAACTCAACTATTTCTCTCTCTCTCTCTTTTCTCTCTCTCTCTCTCTCTCTCTCTCACATACACACACACACAAAACTAGAAAGAAAATTGCTAATATCTTAAGCTCACTTTCTCCTTCTATGACTGTTTCTACTCAGATTGAAAACCTAGATTATCAAAGTAATATAATTTAATTTGACTGATGTCCCTGTGAAATAGGAACACATGTAATTTCCATTAACTAATAATACTGAAGTGGCAGAGAAATCCTAGACTAACTGCAGAAAGTGCTAACAAAAAAGTAGCATTAAAATTGTTCTTGTAATCTTTTAAAATGTTCTCAACTTTACACATTCATCCCAGAAATGACAGAGTAAATACACAACAAAGGTTGTAATTTCACTGCTAAATCAAAGGTGTTTTTCAAATTTAATATTTAACATACAAGGCATCTATATTCCTGAAAGGGGAAAACAGTTAAAGTATGTAAAAAAAAAAAAAAAAAAACTACAACCAAGAGGTATTTAAATATTTTACCACTGAGAAAGATATTCATGCAAATTCTATCATACTGCTAAAAACATTAATATATTACTTTTCCAGAGTACACAGAAAAAGAAATTTTTAAAAAACAGACCATCTCTACTCACCTTTCTGGTAAAAAAATTTCCTGTAATAGTATGCACCAAGATCCACATGTTCCACAATGTATCTTTTTACTCTATCCAGGTGCAACACTAAGTTTTCCTTGGGCACTTCAAGTACTGCCACTCCCGCATTTGTGCAATGGGAGGTAAGGGTAGACTCAAAGGAGGCACTTTCACACCCACTAAAGGAGCCCGAATTTGATTTTGACAGGCTGATTTTCCTTTCACCTTCTCCACCTATCTCATTCCGAAAATATGGACAGCTCATCACAAGTTCATTGCTTTTATCATCTCCCTGGTCCATGCTGAGGCTTCCTTTGGAATTCAGGTCCTCCGTGCTGCCCATTGGAGAGCTGAAACTAGCTGAATGAGACAAAGGTCCAGAGACCAAGGATGCCACAGCTGCTGCTGAAGCTCCTGTAGTGGTGTTTCTCCGCTTAATGACATTGTGCCTGTTCATAATTGCCTCATTCAAATCAAATAATATACTCTGAACATCATAGTGGGCAAAGCACTTTGGACATGTCCAGGGTCTGACAGAGTCTTCTGATCGGTTGTCTTCAAGGTCAGATGATTTCCCAAGTTCTTCACCTTTGGCATTGCGTAATTTACGAAAAATGGATGAATCTCCAGTTTCGGACTTGGAACGTCGTTTGAGTGGTTTCTCCCTTTCCTTAAAAAGCCTAAGGTTTTCTCTCTGTGAGATGGGCCCATCAATAACATCCAAAGAAAAACCAGAACCCTTGCTCCCACCAGCAATGAGAAAGTCACTGAGCTTGGTTGGAGTTGGACCTCGGTCAGATTTATCATCTTTATAGCTCTTTAACAAATCAAAAAAGCTTTCTCCAGATGTTCCTTGCTTATCAATTGAAGATGTGCTACCATATTCCCTGTGCAATGATGGGCCAGTCTTGTATGTGGGTGAGATACATTCATCAAAGCTATCCACGTCAAGTTCACTTATGGTGATATCACTGTTACTCCGCTGCCGTATTCTGCGAAGAGCTTTCCTAGGGGAGCTGGGATAGGCTTCAGGCATAAGAAATCTGGAGTCCATGTTCTCCGATGGTCTAGTTTTGTTTTTCAGTGTGTTCTGTATACTCTTCAGCATGGCTGAGTCATTGGAATTGAGGCTAACAGAACTTCCCTGACTCACAGGACTACTTTTGGAGGACAGGCTCTCAAGGCAACCTGAGGTTTCTATTTCCTGGCTTGAACGGCTGGATTCCTTTATGTTTTCCTTTCTAGGAGGCCAATCTGCAATCCTTGCCCTAACCCCCATTTTTGGGACACCAGGAGTAGAGGTTATATGGTGAGAACCTTCACTTCGAGGGGGCCCTACAGGAGCCATAACTGATGATCCTAAACTACCATTTTGGGACCGGAAGCGACGCATGTAGAAATCATCAGTGTGGACTTTGGGGGTACCATCTGTGCCAACAACAGAGGCCCTGTCAGTGGCAACAGGCCTTTCTGTCTGTGACCGTTTCAAGCTGGTCATGATGCAAAAATAATCAGACTTAAATCCCTGCAGAAAGAATCATATCTGTGTTTTAGATGTGCACTTCCCTTTTTGAGAATGGCTTGCCAAAAATACAACAGTTGCATGGAATCTTAAGATTTTTCATTTAAAAGGTTAAATGTTGCCTGATTTTCAAACACTGAAGATCCAGATCTTAAATAAGACTGTAATCCACAATAGTTCCTTGGCTTCACTTTAACAAATGGCTTTCTTTCACAAAAAACTGAGTGGAACTTGTATTACCGGGATTCTGTAATTGCCATACTCCCATGCTTTCTCTAAAAAAAAAAGAGAGAAGGACAATTTGAATTAACATTTAATAAATACATCTAAAAACAAATATGCAACAGTCAAAATCAGGCATATGAATACTGACTCAATACTGGATTGTGGTTCGCAATTTCATGACCCAAATTTTCAGGAAAGCAGGTTTGAAAAAAAGTAAAAGCATTTTGTAAAACCCAACATTTATACAGACTGTTACTATTTTAACTCAGCTGAAATATTTCACAAATGGCATGGGGCTTAACATGTTGGTCAGTAGCAGTGAGACTCTTAACTCAAGCTTGAACTTTTGCTCCAATGACCTCTACTAATATAAAACATCATGAGCCACTGTGCAAACTAAAAGTTAGATTAGAGATACAACCAACAAAAATCAGATAATCAGAGCAATACAAAATTAGGGTTTTTTTTACAAAATTATTTTGAAAAAATTAAAAACTGAAAAATAATTTTCTCGAATAACACTGAAACACTAATTTTGCAACTCCTATATTCCAAATTCAACATTTGTTTCCCTACAAAGGCAACATAGTTGGCAAGAGCAAATACAGCAGAAAAAGTAGTCTTCCCCCCGCTGGTGCCATTATATCATCATTCGCATTTTTTGCATTTATCTTTATTACTTACCTAGAGGAGGAATATTGCAGAATGAATCGACCATTCATCACCACCTCTTGCCAAGCTCTCCTTAGTTTCATCTACTCTTAAAGCTGAAAGTCTTTCACTAATAAAATGCTTGCATTTCCTTGAGCAATACAACCTAACCCACCCCATCAGTACTAATTTATGACGATGGCAGAAATAAAATGCTGCTCTGGGTAACCCTCTCCACATCCCCCAATAGATTACAGAGAACTGTCAGCATCCTTCCAGGTGACAGGCAGGAAAACGAACTTCCCCATGAGCACGTTAGGCAGGAGGCAGGAGCCACAGATGCTAAGTACAAAATCCTGCATGATTGCGTACATCCTGAAAAGAGAGGCAGAGGAACCTTTCCCAATACTCTGTAAATTACACAAGAGGTGGCCTTTAAATCCTTGCCACATACATGTTTGGAAGGATGCTGCTGAACCAGCACTGAGCTGACAGAGCAGCATTGTCTACAAATCACACTCTGACACCGAGGAGGACCCCAGCTCACTGCATGCTGCACTCAACAGTAACAAGCACTTACTTCCAGGATAATTAAGCATCTTGCTAGTCGGCTTCCTGCCTCCAAGGCAGCCGCTTTCATTTCTCCTGCAGCACGCAGCATCGTTTTAGAAGACTCGTTGCTATTTAAAGCTGGAACATTTAGGGGTATTTTAAAAAATGCACACTGCCTGCAGAATGCAGGGCTCATGCAGCCTAGGGCTGGGCAGCCAGTCAGATAAATAAATGTCCACTGTTTTTGCTCACTCTCCTCTTCACTTTTTTGTGAAAAGGATAATGGTTTAGTACTGCTACCTAATTAAACCTGGCTTTTGAGCTTTCTTGATACTTCTACCACCAGATTGTTATGATTTCCTTTATATTCCAGAACTTTACCCACTGCTCTTTCAACAACACGCTTTTAACTAAAATAACATGCTAACTGTTGCTTCCAGTAACTGCAAGGGACAGCATATGTACATGGCCAGACCTAAGGTTCAAGAAGTACTCTTCATTAAATGGAAAGAAAACCAATTAATTGCAGCAAAACACAAACACCTGTCCATCTCAACACAACCACCACAAAAATCCAAACCCTATTGGTTTCAACAAATCTTCAAGAAATACATCAGCACAAAGAATAACATGTTTTACACCCTCACAGAAATCCAAATATATCATTTTCTATTCCCAGAACACTTATTCTCTATGAGGCCAACAAGCCAATCCCACTGTAACAAAACCTCACTTTTCACCTGCCTTAGAAAATGCACTACTACACAACTATCTTTCTTGGGACACAAGAAGTTACAGACATCGTAGGAGGAAAGTAAAGGCTGGCATTAAAATACAATAAATAAAACTGACTTTGAAATACCTAGTCTTCAGTATTTTCTCTTCCAAAGCATCTCCTTTGCTTCCTATATTTTAAATGGGTTTTTAAAACATCTTAATATAAAAGTTTCTCAGCAACATTAAAGAAATGTCAAGAGCTTCATTACATCTTGATTGTAAGAATAACTCAATGTTTTCTTTTCATTTCAAAATACAGATGAGCACACAGGGAGAGAACAAACCAATTTAATGACCTGTAAAAACTGAAGGTGTTTAAAATGGGCAACAAAGTGTGTTATTTTTTCCCCAGTCATGAAGACCTTTTCTTCATCTATTTCTCCTACCCCTGCCTTTTTCACTTTCTTCTTTCCTCACTTTTTCTTTCTTTTGGTGGTGGGGTTTCAGGGGATCGAACTCACAATTTTATGCTTGCCAGGCAGGCACTTGTGCCGCTGCACTATATCCCCAGCCCTCCTCTTTCTTATTCATAGCATCAAACCTTTTTGACATGCAAAATCAAATTTAGGCATTTACTACAATATAGAAATACACATGCTTTCCACTTGCCAAACTACCAGCTGAAAATCAAGATGTCTATCCAAGTGTGTCATATGATGGCAAATCAATAATACCTTAAAACCTATTCTTTGGAGCTGACTAAAATAGCAAACATATGTTAACAATTATTAGCAATTTTCCTAAATATCAGTAAAGCTGCCTGAGGATAGGTTAACATGATAAAAAAGCAACAGAATTAAACAGTAGAGCAGCATTAACTTACAGCATGTAATTATCTTTCAAAGAGCAGACTGTATAAAAATTTCCTTATTACATACTTAATTTTATATTTCAATACTATTTAAGTGCATGGTGAATCATTCTACTAATTGAAGACTTTTCATCAATTTACCTGGCCACTGTTTTCTGATAATGCCATCCTTCTAAAACAAGCGCTTTCTTCTTTCTTTTCATACCTAGCATTTGTACATTCACTTCTAAGCAAGAAATACAAACCTGGTAATAGAACTATTTGAGGAAATAAAATAGCTCAGGAGTAACAGGAAAAAATAAGCAAGTAAAAAGATGAAGTGAGGTTCAAGTTATGTAGGGATACATACAGGTGATGCCTCCTTCCTGCATACTTTCCATTCTGACCACAAGCTCTCATTTGAAACTATCTCCTGACACTACTTAGTGAGACCATAGCTATTCTGAATATCAAGTCCTCAGCAGTAATGAAAATGAACATCTAGGGATCTTTTCAGTCCTTGTCACTTTTGGCTCTGAGAAGCATTTGCCCTATGACCCCTCCCAAAAACTCTTTTCCAGACCTCTGTGATAACTAGGCACTTTGTCCTTTCTCCTTTGGCTCCCAACTCATTATCATTAGTGGGTTCCAATTAAATGCTGGAGGATTCAGGGTGATGTTCTTGGTTTAATTCTCTCGCCATTTTTCATATTTTGGAAGGAGATGTAAAGGATACTGCTATCAAGATGTATATGAGCAGTGAGTGCATCAGGATGAGACAGCAGCACAATACAATAAAAATATTATTATAGAAAGCAGGGTGCTGTCTTAGTTGGATCATAGTTATTTGTCCAAATGAACAAAGACAGAAAAATGAAACTGCTGGAGTGAGCATTACACAGAGTATTGGTAACCAGTACTATCACAGTATCACACTCAATATATCTGATTAACCTGCAGCTTTAAATATAATTTCTGTGTTGTTACCTCCAAATCGCTAGTCATGACCTTCTTTCTAAACTCGAGGTGAAATACATAAGGTGCACATTTGTTATCTTCCTTGTTTATTTTTCTATAAAGAATTAACCAAGAAGAAAAATGGAAAAATTGATGTTTTTCAAGAAATGAATGAGTAGTAAGGAAGTGAGGACAATAAATAATTCAAGGAACTGAATGAACAGAATATAGGAAACTTTCTTTGTGCCAAGAGCATAAAGAGTAGTTTAACAAGTTACACAAGAAAATATGGGAAGGGAGTGGGAATGAGGGAAACTCTACAGTTCCTGGCCTGAAATAGTCACAATGTACTGTGGTAATTTCACCAAAAAGATACAATGCTCCTCATCAAATACTGTACCTTAAAAAAAAACTGTACTTTTATATTCCAAAACAGGATACTGTTGTAGGTTTCTTAACTGATAGAGCTTCAAAAACAAGACGAGCTCCCTTTAAGGCAAAAGAAAGAACTCTACTGATGAATAACTATTCAAATGCCTAGTAATTTATTATTTATGACAATTTCCAAGTAAATCTTTTTTAAAGCTGTGCACATATATTTACGATTCCTATAAGTATCTTATATAAGCATGTGACTGGATGCTTTATTTTAAAACAAATAATACCTTCATGGTGCTGAAATATTAATTATCTAAAATAATCCAAGAATAAAATTCTGTTTTTCACATCCCTTCTTGGTGTTCTTAAATTTCATCACATTCCATAAAAATAACATGTTAGACAGAAAGGACTGCTCTTCCTTTCAATATCAATACAAACATCTCAATGCATGTTTGGGTAATTTAAGATTTATGAATCAGAAAATAACTTTTTAGACTGTAATTTTCCCCTTCTTTCCTTTTTGTTTTCTCCCTTCAAGAAAAAGTAGGAAGGACTGAGAAAAGCAGACTTCATAAATATAGTTTCTGCTCTCTAAATGTTCACTATCTGGTTCAAAAATTTGTGCCAAATTAAAGTGAATAAAGAAGCTACAGATACAAAAGATATATAAGGTTATATCTCAATTTAGCATTGAAAATGCAATTTAAAATGTACCTATTTGGTCTGAGGATGAACAGAAAGGGAGAAACACATTTGTTTCTATCAACCTTCCTAATTAAAAATGTTCTATGAGAAAGGTTACGTATCAAAAACTTAATAAAGCTTCTACGGACTTTGCATAGCAGATAAAGTAAAGAACACGCAAGTTTGGCAGAAAGCTTGATTTCCTGAAGAAGGATGACAGCATCAAAGACAGGAGCAAAAAATACCTGGAATTAATAA